AGCTTAAATATAATTGATATAAGTATATCATTAGACTAGAACTCTTCTTACTTGGAGGTAGAAAAGCTTTACACCGAGGAAAGAAAACTGGTCTACGAAACCATTCTTTAGTTAGCTAGTTTTTCGCTGTTATGGTATAAATATATCATTGGAACGGTACTCTTCTTACTTGGAGGTTGAAAAGCTAATCACTGGGGACAAGTATAGAAATGGCCAAGAAACGATTCTTTAATTAGCTTCTTATTAAAATCTATCTGATCAAAATAAAGCTCACATATCTTGTTTCATTTGTTCTTCAGGGCTACTTCAGTCATTCTTTATTGAATTTTATAGATTGATTATTTCATTCTTAAACGTGAAAAATCGTGTATTTTATCAAAATGTTAATGTCTTTTTTTTTTATTTTCAGATAATCGATTCCCGGTTTCCACAGTTATAATGAATTGTTGATATAATAATAACATCATGTGATTCGTCTTAATGTCTGAATATTAAAGGATTTTAAACACAGCGTGGTACAATGTGGATATTTAATATGAAAATGTTGGGAGTGTTAATCTTAACGCTTGTGGTTCACGTGTCAGCGTTCCGAATTCAAAGTCGTTGTGAAACCATACATAATAGTGGTCATGTGATAGCTAATTGTTCTAGTCGTAATTTTGATTATATTCCGTGGGATTTACATCACGATATACGAACACTGGATCTCAGTGACAACAATATCTCCTTACTTCGTAAAAACTCGTTTGATAAATACATCAACATCGAGAAATTATATTTACAAAGAAATCAACTTCAGACCATCAAAGCTGGTGCTTTTTATAATCTCAATCGGTTAAAAGTGTTGGATTTATCAGGTAATAATTTTGAATTTGTGCCGACCAAATCGTTATCTGATGTTCCCAATTTAAATGTGTTGTCATTAAAAGCTAATAAGTTGAATCGTTTGGAAAAAAATTCTTTTCAAGGATTACCCTTCCTTCGCGAATTAGATCTTTCTGGAAATCACATCAATATTATCTCCCCTTATACATTCTCTGGTCTGGATTTATTACATACCCTACAGCTTCAGGATAACGCCCTGCAGAGTCTGGCCATCGAGGATGTGTTTGGACTCGGTCGGAAGTTAAAAGCAATTCGCTTGTATAATAATCCATGGTTCTGTGACTGTCGTTTACAATGGATGAAACAATGGCTGAATAACGGAACTGTATCACACGGACTAGAATGGAACTTTCCTGATCTCGGACCAAACTGTGCCGGACCCTCTCTCGTTCAGAAGAAACCTATCAGTCATGTGACTTTAGAACATTTTGCGTGTCCAATAGAAATGTACACCAGTGGTTCAAGGGTCATTCTAAAACCAGGAGATTCCACGGCGCTGTATTGTAAATATTTCTCTATCACCGAAAGCAGTGTTGTCTGGTTTAAAGCAAACCAAATGATTACGAACTCTCTTAATCCAGATAAATATAAAATCATTCAATCTGGACATAACGTGAAACAGAGTGTTTTGAATATTTATGACTTTCAGAGTGAGGATGAAGGGGAATATCGTTGTTTGGCTGAAAATATTCGCGGCACAGACTATATCAAATTCGATGTCATGTTCGAACAACCAAAATCATTGGTACGAAAGAATTGGCAACTGCTCAACTTTCTGGTCAAAATCAGGAAAAAATTATTATTGCAGTTTCAGCGGTGGCTGGTTTCGTGATCCTTATTCTCATAGTCTGCCTGATCGTTAGATACGCGATTCGAATAAAACAACGTAAAAAACAGAAACGTGATCAGATTCGTCTTCAGCTCAAACATCACGACCTGGAAACCACCAACATGGATAAATCTACAGACAAGATTGATGGTGAAGACAGCTCTAACGACGAAACATTGATGAAATTAAAAATGGATGATCGCGAATCCATTCATTCAGAGAACTCCTTTTCAAATATCTACGCCCCCACGGCCAATAACGGCAACACCTACATATCATTTAGTAGTGAACTGACGGAACCTGACCCTGATGATATCAGTCAGATTTATTCGGCTATCAGGAACCCACCCCCTCCTGGGTCCCATACAGAGTCTACTACCCCTCTCCTGGATTACCAGTCACCGTCATTTTACGAATCAGATGAACCTATTTATGATTCCCGAGCCTATTCTGTCGTCAGCGTGAACGTACCACACCGAACCAACTATTACGTCGCTCAAAGTTTCAGCCCTAGAACCCCGGGAAGTGTTCGTTCCAATAATTTCTATCCCGAACACGATCAATCGAATGATTTTTATGATTATAATGACGTAAAAGATTACAGTAGAACCAATTTCCCTGATTTCAGTGACTATCGTGACGTGTATAAACTACCGTGTACACCACCAACTTCTAAAAATCTCACAAACGACAAGAAAAGTGCTTCGGTTGGACATTTAGGACCAATGGGTCCTCGTAAACCACCTCGTTCATTCCAAACGTACACTCCACGAGGAACATCTAGTGAAATAGGTGGAGTGAATCATTCTAAAAGACCTCCGCGAGTTATTGGAAATGGAGGTGATTACATTGTGAAATCGAACCACATGTATAGACCGCCTGGCGTCGCCACTAGTGAAATAATGGGACCAACATATTCCCAACCCATGAGACAATTTGGGATGCCAGCAGGAAAAAATTTTGGTGCTAACTACAATCGAAAACTTGAAATGCCAGCGTACGAACTTGCTAGAAGTTTTACTAATGACAATCGCTCGGAAATTTTATCATCAAATCTATCTCGGGCTCCTATTTCAGTTAAAAGTGACACTTTAGGCTCTAATGCTTCTCAAAGGACCCGGAGTTCCGTCAGTTCATCGGAACTTTTAACACCCCCTACCCCCCCTAGAACAATCAGCCCCTCCCCACCACGCAGTAAAAAGGGAAGTACCCCTTCTACACCGACTTCTCCAGGACGCTCAATAACATCTAGTATTGCTTCACCCAGCTCTTTTAAAGACTTGCCGCCTGGCACTCCAGTGTAATATATAATAAAAGCAAGAGTTATTGCCCTTGCCATTGTGAACTAGTTTTAAATGTAAATCTTTAAAAATATTTCATCGTGATATGTGTGTTATGGAGTCCGTAAGGGTCATTAAAAAACTCTGTTATGTCGTTATGAGAATTTGAGGTTTTTTTTTTGTTAATTTGTGCTCAGAGAAAAATAGAAATACAACTGTATTAACCTCAGAAACAGTTTCATTTACAACCAATAAAGTAACCTATTGCAAAAGATAAACCACAAGGTTGCAAATTTTATTTTTAAATATGTACAACCTTGTAGTGACTTTAATGATATATAGGTTGCAAAATGGAAGGGCGCAAAACTCTGTAGTTTCATTTGAATTTTCAAACCTGTTTTTTGATAAGATTGAAACAAAAAAATAAATGAAATGAAATGAATATAGTTTTACGTCCTACTTTTCTGCACCATGTGGGCTAATGAAGACGGGCAACGCCATGCAGGGTGCGATGAGGGAAATTTTAACGTGCACAGCCTGTAGCACACGGGGTCTCTGTTTATTGTCCCATCCTAACGACTATAGACGCTTTTTCCATATCAGTCCCTCGTACCTGCATCACTGACATGGGGAAACCGGGTTGAAAAATCCGAAGGTATTATCTCGATCTATGCTGGGATTGAATCCTGGACCTTCAGGTTAGCGAGCAAGCGTCTAACTATGATAAAGAGATTATTAATTTATAATAATTATCAACACCTAGATACAATTTGTTTGTTTTTGTTATTGTTCTTCTATGATTATTTATTCTAGTAAGTGTTGTACACAAAGACAAAATACGAGATCTCTTTTATTGACCAGTTGTGTTTTCATGGTCCAATGAATCTTGCATTTTTGTAAATTTGATCATGACTATTTTTTCTATTTTCTAAGGCATCATTTTGATTATAAATAGCAAAATACACATTTAACTAACTTTGCTCAGTCCAAGTTATGCATACACAAAGTTTCAACAATTTACATTGCAATACAGGTTAAATTCTGTTATCATATGATACTAATGATATTAAAGTCTACTTCTTGATATACTTATTTATTTATTATGTACTAAACAAAATTTGATTTCATTTGAAAATATTCCAGAACTTTGGAATATACTGTACTATTAATATTTGACCAAAAATAAAATTATCAAAATATTGAGTTAATTTTGTATTTGCTTACTGGTAAAGAACAACCTCAGAACCAACCCCAACCCAAACTTCATGGTAATCCTGTCTACCAGCTGTTCTGTGCATTGATCTTTCCCATGTTTTCAGTACTGCTGGGTCTACTGGGACAATTATAACTTATACTGGCACCAGAAACATTGATCGAGATAAGAACCTAAACTACCATTCTATCAATGTAACCAAGCAATTGTCATCTGATATCGAAATCTTTAAACGCCTTGTACAGGATTACTCAAAGATGGCAAACAAAATATGGCATCTCAAAAAGATATCCATAGCCTTTCTAAGTGATCAAATGCAAAACATACAATTGATATACAAGGTCTTAACAAAAATAATCTTTAAGTTTGACAACCACACAAGAAGATAGAATAATTTATAAGAGCATACAAAGAGACAAGGTTTGAACAAGTTTTTCATAGAAAATCTAATCAATGGGAGGCAACTCCAGGTATTTAAATCAATCAGACCACATCAAATTATTCAATTCAACAATCCCATTCATATTAAGATATTACCAATAAAGGGAGATAAGTACAACTTTATACTAAATCAACATTTTTAAATTATATGTAATACATATTATGGAGCCAGATCTAGAGCCCTTTATATTCTCCAGTGTGGCTTAATCTCCTAGAGCATTGAGAAAAAGTTGTGACTGTACATTTTTGACTGTTTGTATGTGTGCAAAAGGTCATTCATGCTTCAGTGATAAGCGATGCAATGGTTTATGATTGAATGAAAATGAGTCGAAAATTTTAAAACAGCACTTACCTTCTGGATAATATGATCAAAGTTAATTCCTAATTCTGAAATACAACAAAAACAGTTTTAATTTCTTCCACATATTAAAGTATTTTGCTGTCACAATCAGCAGAAACTTTCAATACATGTACAGGGAGACTGCATGATCTGTAAAATACCTGACCTAATAACATATCTTATAAATTTGTTAAATTTGTTGTTTTTAGTTTTGAATGATCTCCTCAAAAATCTTTGCTGAACAAAAAAAGATAAATCAATAACAAACCTTCCATTAATGGTGGCTCGTTCTCGTAGTCGTCAGGACCCCCTGGGGGTGCACTATAAGCAGCTGGGGGTGCCTGGGGTGTGAAAATAGACCCAGCATAACTTGGTGATGAATTCGTTGGAACATATCCTTGATTATAATCAAACTGGCCGAACTGTCTAAAATACAAAACATTTCAATTGTTACTAAGGCAACAAGTTACATAAATGATTTATTTTTTCAAGGCCATTCAATTGAGTTAATCTAAATTTTAGATGTTTCTGAACTAATTCTTATTTTTCTTTTTCCATGCCGATTGGATGAACAGATCTCATTGTTTTAATATCAAAACTATTGTGTGCTAATTCTTTGTAGGATTCATGTCAATTGTCTGCTATGCTTTCATTACTGACATCATGAAATACTTATTTTAGTAAAATTGCAGGAATCACTGACGTCAGACTAAAAATTGAATGGTGCAATCAATGATATCAGTGCCCCAAATACATAGACAAAATTTAAAACAACTGGCCCCAGGGCCACAACAAATTTCTCATGCTTAGCTTAGTTTCTTTTGAAATTAATAATGCTCCTTGCATCAAGAAAAGTTACAATTTAAAGATTAATGTGATAATGCCAGAAACTTTGTGCCCTAATGAATAGATTGATATTTTGTTTTCTATGATACAATCACTTATTCACCTGTATTAGTTGTTTCAATTTTGAGTAAAATCTCAGCTTAATATGAAAAAAAGTTTGTGACCGATGAGCCCTGTCTTTACAATCACCCTAATAAAAAAAACTTACTGCTCTTGGCCGAAGTTTGCTCCTCCCATATCATAACCAGGCTGATCATAGTTAGACTGAAAGAAATCATCTTGTTGAAATTGGGCCATGACTGTCTGAAAAAAAATAAACACATTGAAAAAAATATGTAAATAAATAAAGAGCAGCAAACAAAACCAAACCAAACATCTAAAACAACAAAATGTTGGTAACAGCTAATGAAATTTTCACTCAAGGAAGTATTTACTGTCACTGTACAAAACTAGATTTTAGACTAAACCCTTAGGCTTTAAATCTCTCACTCTTTCCATTGAAACTAAACTATTTATTTCCTCATGCACCTTCCTAACTTTAATTTTCCCCATATACCTCAGCATCATAATGTAGTTCTACTCACAGACAGGGTCTGATATTCCACTTTTGGCACCATTTGGCACCATGGTCTTTTATAATGAATTTTTGTAATTTTATCAAAACAGATTAACAAAATTTCACATTGAAACACGACTTCCACAAGTTTCACTAGTGCAGAAATGACCAAATGTGGAGTCAAAAATGACAACAAGTGGCAGAAGATGCCAAACCAAATTACCACTACCAGCCAGGTGCCAAAATGTCTAGTTTCCACTATCTTTATAGAATTTCATATCAAACTATTATGTGTCTGTTAATCTTTCAAAGACCAGCCGACTACTAAGCTGCATGGATTCAAGTTCAATGGATAAGGAAAGAGCAACCGAAACCAATGAATCACGATGCTCAGTGAGTTGGTCTTTTGCAAATTACAGACACAAATATAAGGCAAGAAAGAAACCTAACTTTGGACATTCTTTACAGACATAGAAAGCTAACGAAATGCTTCGGGGCTTTGAAATGGGTATTGTGTGTAATTATAAAAGTTACAAACTTTTTAATTAGTTTGAAGATTTAGGAAAATCGAAAAACACGTCGTCTTGTTTACAACTGTGCTGTCAAAGAAAGACTCTGACAAAAGCGCAGAAGTCCAACAAGAATCGTCGATTATGCTGTGTTCACTGGAAAATTAAAAATTATGGATACGAGATACGAAACGAATGAACAAATTTCAAGAAAATATGTTTGGGATATGTTTATCAATATAAATAAGTGATGGGTATTATTTCAAAGCGATTTTAGGAAAATCTATTTGCATTGAAGCGTAATGAAAGGCCTCTATCAAATATATTAGGGAATTTATACGCAAGCTTTAAGACGATTGTAAATGACGATAAAGCGTAAATGAAAGAAACAATGTTCGACGTTGCGCGCACCTGCGCAAACCAAACTTTTTAAACTTCCTTTTCCGGTTTAGCCTTCAGTCAGGTGCGAGTTTCCCTAAAACTATCTGAAAATCCAATAAATTACCCTCTTAAATTTATACATCAGCGTCCTATTTACTTTCTAATTTATTTAATAATGCTTCATCTATCGAATCCTGTTGATTTAGACCCCTTGATCACCCCCTGAGCGCAATAGATTGATTCTAATGTGAGCATGTTGGAGTTAGCTTTTCTTAGGTCTTGAAAGTTGAATAGTGGATCACTGATCAGCTAGTCAAAAATGATAAATTCTTGAGGTTTTGAAGGCTTTAAAAGTTACTTTGGATTATTTATTTTGAACTTCGCCCGTCTCTTTGCAACTGATTGCATAGGGAATAATACAGAACACTTTAATACGATTTTACTCATGTCGGCCATGTTTTCTAGTGAAGTAGTCATAGTCGATGTGCATGATGATTTTGAAGTCAAAAGCGCAACAGTAGCATTTCTATTGTCAGTAGCCCTAAAGTATCATTTTGTTTAGTTTTCTGCAGAAGAGAAGTATTTCTGTAAAGCCCTTTGCAGGCTTAAAAACTGAGAAACTTTCTTCCAAAGTGCTTATTTAGGCTACAAGTAGTCTAAGGCTTGTGTTTCTTTTGTGATTATGTGGTGTCAAATCTTATCTGCCCTGCAATTTACGGACATTTTTATTTTGTAGGCAAAATGAAGTTGATAAGCTCTTCACAGACTGTTAACATCCCAAAGGGAGGTAAGTATTATGTTTTCACATTGAAAGTCTTTGATTTCTTGCTTCACTATTGGTTTGATGACAGGGGTTAGAAGCTGACACCAGACCAACTTACTTCCTTGAAGTTTTTATGCATGACATTTGATTGCTTAACAGACGTCAATCCATCTTGCTAACGACTGAATTAAACAAACGGCAACTGTTTTATAACAAGTTTCATTGTTATCAAGTAATCTGAAGGGTTGTTATTTGCCTGTGTGCTGTGAATTTGATGTTTAAGAAAAAGTAAAGAATTCAAAATAGTACACACACATCTTTGATAATATAAATGAATTAAAATTCTTATATTGAGAATAAAATTTCATTTAATTTTTTTTCTTCAGTGTCCATTTGTGTGAAATCACGACAAATTACTGTGAAGGGACCACGAGGAACTTTAATCAAGAAATTCCGTCATGCTGGTATCCATATTTATATGAAAGATCATCGTCATGTGACTGTAGAGAAGTTTTTTGGTACCAGTAAACAGTTGGCTACTGTTCGAACCATCTGTACTCATGTTGAAAATATGATTAAGGGAGTTGTCAAGGTAACGGCTGGGTGATGTTTTATTTTGATAGGTTGTTATGGTAGATTGTTAGAACTTGGACATCATATGCATGTTTATGTTGGTGCTTGTTGATTCCAATCTTGGTTAGCCTGTGAAAATCTGGTGACCTTGAATAAGTCATCTTTCATCATTATTCCAGTCAACCCAGCTGTAAATGGGTACAGAAAATCAAGGATAGATCAATGCCCAGTTTGGTCAAGGACGAACTGATAGAAAGGATCCTTAAGTTTCTTTTCTTGTAAAAAAAAGGGGGGGTTTGATATATTATGTATATAACAAAGGTAACTGTAAATAAAAAATTGTTTTAATGATGACAATCTACATGACGAGTCATATTTGTCTCCAGTTATTTAGATATTCAGATAGTTTTTATCTGGTATTTATCTAACTTGATAAACGTGATGTTTCTGAGGCATTTGTCTGAAAAACTTTTTAAAACTGACTTGATTTGTTATTGAAAAAAAAAAGGGTTTGATATATTATGTATATGACAAGGTAACTGTAAATATAAAATTGTTTTAATGATGACAATCTACATGACGAGTCATATTTGTCTTCAGTTATTTAGATATTCAGATAGTTTTTATCTGGTATTTATCTAACTTGATAAACATGATGTTTCTGAGGCATTTGTCTGAAAAACTATTTAAAACAGTGACTTGATTTGTTATTGAAATTGTTTTTGTATATTTTGCTAAGACAGAACAGTTTCCAGGCTTCAAATTATATGAAATTTTATGAAATTTCCTCTCATAGAAAAGAGGAATTTGTTCTCAAAAGAGTGGATAAATATCTTAACTTAAATTGCTTCACTTTTCATTCTCTCATAAACTAAACAATGGATTCATCTCTTACTGATAATAATAGATAAAAGACTGAATGGAAAGCACGAATTTATCTGTTTTTCAGGGTTATTTGTACAAGATGAGAGCTGTATATGCACATTTCCCTATCAACGTTGTAATCACCGATGAAGGTCAGAGAGTTGAAGTCAGGAATTTCTTGGGAGAGAAATATACCAGAATCATCAACATGATGCCTGGAGTTCTCATCTCAGGATCTCCTGGACAGAAAGATGAATATATATTAAAAGGCAATGATATAGAAATGGTATCCAGATCAGGTATGTTCAGCTGTGTACTTGTTCACAATGTCAAACTATTGACTACCTTGACTGCATTAGCCATCTTTCTTGTATCACAGAATGCTGTGATTGGATTGTACACTAGCGAATACAGCCAATCAGAGTCTTCAATGTCTGTAATTGTACAATCCAATCATATCGTTGCATTTACAAACTTCTGTGATACAAGTAAAGTGGCTAAGGCTGTCAAGGTATAACTTGTACTTGCAAGTGTAAATATACAGTGGTTTTAATGATGACAATCTACATGACGAGTCATATTTGTCTCCAGTTATTTAGATATTCAGATAGTTTTTATCTAGTATTTATCTAACTTGATAAACGTGATGTTTCTGAGGCATTTGTCTGAAAAACTTTTTAAAACTGACTTGATTTGTTATTGAAAAAAAAGGGTTTGATATATTATGTATATAACAAGGTAACTGTAAATATAAAATTGTTTTAATGATGACAATCTACATGACGAGTCATATTTGTCTCCAGTTATTTAGATATTCAGATAGTTTTTATCTGGTATTTATCTAACTTGATAAACATGATGTTTCTGAGGCATTTGTCTGAAAAACTATTTACCTGTCTCTTTACTCAAATAAGCTTTCATATTATCATGGTAAGTCTCGTGGAATTAAATTAATTATTGAATTTACAAGCTGGAGCTCTATTTTAGCTTTCTGTAGCCTTTATCATAATTAAAATCCAATAATTGACTTTCTCCCTGCGATAAAAATGACCTATTAAACAAGCTCTTGCCAATAAGGTGGCTTTTCTTTTGAAGCAGCCAGTGCAACTACATTAACTATAACCATTGTTATGAATGGTCCAAGAAAACTTCCCGATTTTGAATGCTTTTTTTCTGATGACCAATTACTTCTGTAATCTCATCTTTGTTTGTATATTTCAGCTGCCCTCATCCAACAGTCAACAGCTGTCAAAGAAAAAGATATCCGAAAGTTTTTGGATGGTATTTACGTGTCTGAAAAAACTACAGTTGAACAAGACTAAATTAAAAAAAAAAGTTTTGAAAAAAAAATTGTTTTTATTGATTGTGACAAAAGGCCTGCCCCACCCCCTTAACGTTTTGAAAGATTAATGATACTTAATATCTAAGTGACTCGCCAAACCATACTTTGCCGACCTGTGTCAGTTAATTTCTGGAAACAGCAGAGGATTCTTCTAATATCCAGTGGCTTTATTCCACCCCACTTTCGTGCTTCCGCCATTCTGAAGGCTGCAGAGGGTCTCGCTGGTAACTCAGGCTGGGTTCCTGGGATCTGTAGAGTGGAGTGCGTCACATCTGACGAACATCTGTCCACGACATGACAGTTTGAATCTTATCAACTGGATTCATTCGACGAGTCGGGTGTTTAAATCGTAGTTGCCCATGGTCTACTTTCTAGCACTAAATAAGCCAAGCCCTTACAATCTGAACCACATAACGAAATCTAGAACATATCTCAAAACCTGGTTAGACTAGAAATAAGTGAATCTGTGGGGAATCTTTGGTCATCCAGTTTATCGCAGTTAGTGGGTGAGTCGATATCGTGTTTAATTAGATCATGTCAAAACCCGTATTTTTGTGGGTCGATATGGGAATTTAGACAAATCGAGTGAGAATCGTCAGTCCGCCTGATGTAAATAGAAATAAGAGTAGAGGTACTGTGAGGAAATAACGATACGGTTGAAAATAAAAGTGAATTCACGAGGTTCCGGTGCGGACACTTCTACAGTATCGATAATCCAGCACCAGATAGCTTATCTCGTCTATTCGCAGGCATAGTTTGTCTTCTGATGCAAGTTCTATCAAGGCATTATTCTATATGCTAATGATAAACTTCTTGTTTAACAAGGGCCAGAATCAGAGCTAACGGTCTACCGTGAAAGCCCCTTTAGCGCTCTGCGACAGATTCAGCTCCACGGAAACTGTCGAGGATTACCGAATGAGAATTGAGAGCACCGATTGGTTCGATTTGTCGTAATGATACTATTGACTAATCAGATTTCTAGAAATTGGTTACAAACCAGAATCGGAAGTTAAGTAACAACTAAACAGATTAATAATAGTTAATCTCATTTCGACTGTCATAATCCCGTTAGCTAATTGTAACCACAACAAACACAGGCAATCAATTAACCCTTGGAGACCAACTCAGTATAAATTAACCCTCTTACCAACCGAGGATATCAACATTTGAGTTGGCTACTGTTGTATTATAACCGTCTACAAACAATCGTCTCTATATTTCTCTTAGAGTTTTTATCAGAATCTTCATTTCAAAATGGTAAGTCGATATGTTCTATTAGTTTTTGATTGTACCGGACAAGAAACGTGATTGACACTTCGTAAAATAACCCGAGAGAAACCCAAAATCTATCTATGTTAACAGACCCTCCTTCGCACATTGTTAAGCGGACATACCGCTGTACATAATTATTTTTTTATGTTAAGTGCTCATTAAATACATTCTTCAAGATTTGCGTTCTCTTTTTCTTTCAGCGTGAGTGTATCTCTATCCATGTTGGTCAGGCTGGTGTCCAGATGGGCAATGCCTGTTGGGAGTTGTACTGTTTAGAACATGGTATCCAACCTGATGGTCAGATGCCTTCTGATAAAACTATTGGAGGTGGAGATGATTCCTTCAACACTTTCTTCAGTGAGACTGGAGCTGGTAAACATGTTCCAAGAGCTGTATTTGTTGATCTGGAACCAACAGTTGTAGATGAAGTCCGAACTGGTACTTACCGTCAACTCTTCCATCCTGAACAACTCATCACTGGTAAAGAAGATGCTGCCAATAACTATGCCCGAGGTCACTACACTGTGGGTAAAGAACTCATTGATTTGGTTCTTGATAGAACCAGGAAGCTGGCTGATCAATGTACCGGTCTTCAAGGATTCCTCATCTTCCACAGCTTTGGTGGAGGAACCGGATCTGGTTTCTCTTCCCTGTTGATGGAAAGATTGAGTGTCGATTACGGCAAGAAATCCAAGTTGGAGTTTGCTGTTTATCCTGCTCCACAAATATCAACAGCTGTGGTAGAACCCTACAACTCTATCCTTACAACCCATACCACATTGGAACATTCTGATTGTGCCTTCATGGTGGATAACGAGGCTATCTATGATATCTGCCGACGAAATCTTGATATTGAAAGACCAACCTACACCAACTTGAATCGTTTGATTGGACAAATCGTCAGTTCAATCACTGCTTCACTCCGATTTGATGGTGCCCTCAACGTCGATCTTACTGAGTTCCAGACCAACTTGGTGCCCTACCCACGTATCCATTTCCCATTGGCTACCTATGCTCCAGTCATCTCTGCTGAAAAAGCCTACCATGAACAACTTTCTGTAGCTGAAATCACCAACGCTTGTTTTGAACCAGCCAACCAGATGGTCAAATGTGATCCTCGTCATGGTAAATACATGGCTTGCTGTATGTTGTACCGAGGTGATGTTGTTCCCAAAGATGTCAATGCTGCTATTGCTACCATAAAAACCAAGAGAACCATCCAATTTGTTGACTGGTGTCCAACTGGTTTCAAAGTGGGTATCAACTACCAACCACCAACTGTTGTACCAGGAGGTGATTTAGCCAAGGTCCAGAGAGCAGTTTGTATGTTGAGTAACACGACTGCTATTGCTGAAGCCTGGGCTCGTCTTGATCATAAATTTGATCTGATGTATGCTAAGAGAGCTTTCGTTCACTGGTATGTTGGTGAAGGTATGGAAGAAGGTGAATTCTCTGAAGCTAGAGAAGATTTAGCTGCTCTAGAGAAAGATTATGAAGAAGTTGGAGTTGATTCTGTTGAAGGTGAAGGGGAAGAAGGAGAGGGAGAAGAATATTAGTTTTCTGATTTTATATCAATAAAAATATTATTAATTTGTGTGGCTGTTTCTTTCAAATATGTGGGTACACAGTGTGTCCAGGCAGGGTATGCTTACTCTTCTAGACACCTGATACCACTCTTCATTATGAAATACTTACTCACTTATAATTGATATACTTTAATATATTTTAATATTTGTTAGAAATGAAGTAGGAATGCAATAGGGGGTACAACTTATTGTTCTAGGGGGGGAAATGCCCCACCCTGGGGCCGTCACTACGGACAATGTTTTATTAACATAAGGGAGCCCTAACCTAACGACAATGAAAACTCAATGCAGTAGATAGAAGAATAACGTCATAAACAATAAAATAACGTCACGTCATTATCTTGTCTTCAACGATTCCAAAGTAGAAGACGTATTTACAGTTAGCTCTGATATTTTACCAGAAATAACAACAGAAAAACGTTCCAACTCTTCAATTATGTTTGTTGACGGAATGGATACAGAAGCTCTCGCCACTTTCATTCCCTTTTTTGCATTACTTATGACAGAATTGCAACAGAAATTCGAGGAGAAAAACCTGGGTAAGTATTTCTGTATTTCACTTCAACAGAATGGAACATAATTTCAGTGAAATTTTACAGAAGAACTTGTTACTGCAGATCTTAGCTTAGTTGCTTGTATAAGCATAGAATCGGCACATTTAACTTTTAAATTCTAGAGTCCAGTGGCTCAACTAATACAACTATTTCTATTTTTACAGGTGACAATCCTAGTTCTGGCTATGGTTCAGTTTCAACTGAAACCTTGACAGAAGTTCCCACAGCTACCAGAATAATTTCCTCCAAAACACGGTATATGGTGAATTATATCACGGGACCCATCTGCGAAGCCACAATTAGAAATGCTCTCAGAAATCTAAGACAAGTACCACACCCAAAAGATTTTCTAGCTATACCATATCTACCTCCATCATTACCTCGAACATTGATAAGTTCCACCACCATTGATGATTTAAAAGATGCCACAAATGGACAGAACATTCAAAATATACCACCGCCTTGTCCGGAGAACATCCATGGATGGCAAACCGGATCTCATCTTAATACAAGACAAACAAAATGTCTAGAACTCGACACCGATATGACTGACCGCTTCATCGTCGAATTGAAACAGACAAAAAGAAATGAAAAGAAACCAGGACTTCTATCGGTAAGTAAAGACAATATTTCGTGTTTATGTTTCAAATTTTGTGCTGCCCTTTGAAAGCAGAAACCAAGAGGCGAAAATAAAGCAATACACATACGATTTTAATAGTATGAAAGTCTGGTGACCTTGATAAAGGCGTCTTTCTTCATTTATACTGGTCGACCTAACACTTTCCATGTAAGAACTAGACGTAGTTTCGTATGGCCCAACAGTAGGTTAATCTGGGAAAGATCAATGCCGAGAGGTTTGGCCAAGAACCAGCTGGTAGAAATGATCCTAATAGATGTTATCTTTGAAAAATAATAGGGTGGTCCTTTTCTTTCTTATTTCGTTATTTGTCTTCATTGAAATTGAAAATTTGATTATTTTCCGTATTTTCAGAAATTAAAGTTCTGGAACAAACAGTCCGAGTCCAAGAAAGATGGAAGTGGAATGGATTCAGCTAAAATAAAGAAAGGTAAATATAAACACAAATAATTTACACTTCTTCCAGCTAAAATTAAACAAAATAAAATTAACGACTTGGGGTGGGTAATGATTGAATGTTGATCTCGGCAGCCATCTTGTCTCCGTATTCTCGAAACGAACTTAGCTAGGATAGATCTTATAAGATCGTTTCAAGAACACGGGGCAAGGTCTAAACAAGAACAACGAGTCAGTACATGATTACTACTGTATCAGAGAGATTATCCTGAGTTTTTCCTGGTGGGGTACCAAGTCGGTAGCTCTGTTCAGCTGTATCAACGGTATTGTGGAGTAATTATTGTATTTTATTATTTCAGAGAAGAAGAAATCTGGAAGCTGGAAGAGAATATTTTGTTGTGTTTAATCTTCTTCATGTTTATGATTAATAAAAACTAGATACTCACCTCATTTTAGAGTTTTGATGTAGTCTGTAGCCAAGAGAAATTTATTGATATAAATATAAATGCGATTTTCTCCCATTTCATGCTGTCTTTTTTACAGGGGGCACAGGCCATTTTTTTGC